ATGTGGTCGAAGAGAAAAGACTTGGAATTTTCAATGGACATGGGTCTCTGGTGGTGGCTAAGTGTGTAACTTCTCTATGGAGACTCGGCCATTTCGCCTCAGCATACACCCACCTTCCCAGGATCTGGGGGTGCAGCCCTATGGAGTGGATTGGTCCATTGTTCTATGTGTCTCTTTGCAGACAATAGTTTTCACTGTCTCCACTCCCTTAAGGCAAATAGGCTATTCCTTCACTTCTTTTTCTTGCAGAAACTTCTAATTCTCCATGCATCGTTTGTCCTTGTGAACAAATACCTTTTCATTCATTTCAGTGGGATTGGGGAAGGAAAAGAGAAACGTGTCATCAGTCTGCCGTGTTTACCTGGAAGTTCTAATGGCATCTTCTTTGGTATTTGAATTTTTTAATTTTTGCATGCTACACAACTAAACCATTTCATCAGACCATAGCAGTTACATTAAGTGACATTATTTGTGGTTCATGAGGACCTTGCAAAGAGCATACTCAAAATACCCAGTGAAATTTCTGTATCTCTTGAGGTGATCAGATAAGGAGTGACGGACAAGTTACAAAGATAACTGAGACTCAGATGGATGAGTTGTTGGACCTGTACGGGTGTAACGTAATTATTCACTTTCTGATCTGGTGCACTGCCGTACTGAGAAGGCGAATCAGTTATCACCCAGTACTTGTGGGTTTTTAAGTGTAGCTGGACTTGATTCATCCAGGACAAACACGAGGAATGGTCTCTTGCCAGCCTTATACTTTGTTTCAGGGGCACCTATAACATTGATTTTAACCCAGCTGTGCCAGAGGGCATCCAGGTAAGCTCTCTGCTAAGGGACTGCCATAAATCCCGGGGTTCGGAAATGCCAGCAGAGCCGCCTGCTTGAAATGGATCCATGGTCACAGGGAAAGCGGTAGACGTATTCAGTGAGGCCTTGCCCGTGCTAGGCAACAGTCACGGTTAACCGTCCTCCTGCCTGTGTGTGCCTCACTGTGCCTCTTTCCCAGTGAAGTTAAAATTTCAGAAACAGATGTCTTCCAGCATAAGTATGCCCCAGTTATCGTATTGGAAAATACTTTTATCTGACAATTACTATAGAGAAGTAAACATTCTAGAAGGTATAGTAATGTTGAGAGCCCAGATTTGAACTTACTTTGGCAATAATATGGTTGACATTTGACATTAAAGGTTTTAAGTCTCTTCCACCTAAATGCTAGAAAAGCTTTTTTTCGTGTGGGGGAGGGGAGAGGGGTTCTAAACTTGCTCTGTTGGTTAACAGCTCTGCACTAGTCTGCTCCACGCTTCCCCGCTCTTCCCCGCTCTGACCTGGTGAGACATCTTTGGTGTTTCATCTTTGGCGTGCGGTTTCAGCTGGGGAAATGCGGCCTTCAGTGTCCAGTGGAAAGGGACAGGGCATTCTCTGAGCCAGGGGAAGCTGAGCTATACAGACAGAAGTCCTCACCCTGGTCCCTGATTGGCCTATCCTCATGCAAATGAGGACTCCAAATCCTCACAGCTTGATTGGCCCAAAAGGCATGGTCCTGATTGGTCAGAATGGGGCCATTGATTGGTCAGTGAAGATGCTATTGGGGGTATAGCTGCGCAGCTCCTATTGGATGGGGAAAGTGTCAGTCCTATTGGTTGAAATGCAGTCCCAGAAATGCCTCTGTAAGGGCTGCTTCAGATGTTAGGAACCTTGTGCAGGCGGGCAGTTCAGTGCAGGCTTCTCTCCGGAGTGTGGCTTGCACAAGAGGTCCCTGTTCAGAAGTGGCTGCTAGGCTTCACTTTTAAATGTGAGCCCCGTTAGCCACCAGGAGCGCTTCTCCATAAGTCTTCTTTCCCAGGGTTCCTAGATCCTTAAGTTAATCTTGGCGAAACTGTAAGACAGGCTAGAATGAGACTACAGTTGGAAATGTGAGTATTCTCAGCTTTAGCAACTGTACCATTAATTAGCCCTATTATTAAGTCACTGCTAAATATTGAACAGGGTGTATCAGTTCTCTGCGTGTCACTAAAATCCTCTCTCAGTGAGGCACGCAGGACTTGACACTTGAGTACTTACCTCATCCAAATATTTTTTACAACTTTCTTTTCTCGGCAAATATACTTCTTTTTTGGTTTGTGTTTCCAGGAGCTAACGTGGTAGTTTAATGTTCTGCATCAGGGTTCATTGTAGAATCTTACTAGGACATCATGAAGTTGATTGACCACGTTAGTTTTCTGCAAATTGGTATTTATAATGGGTCCTGGAACCATAAAAATAACATTAGTGAAGCATCATGACCGTGGATCGTGAGCCAGCTAGTTAGCTCTGAGGATGAGAAACAAGATGTCCTTGTACTGGAATGTGAAGGGCTCTCCTTTGATAAGGAAAAGTATGTGAGAATGTTTCCGATGTGACAGTAAGCAGTTTTTTGTTGTTCTGTTTTTTTTTTTTTAAGAGTCCAAGCTGGGATGGCTGCACACAACCTTCTTGTCGAACACTCCGAATGCTACAACGGAACAAAACCTGGGTCCAGGCACTAGCCCGGGTCAGGTGACTCGCCTCTGGAAGTCTTCCTTCTACAGACATGGCCCCTTTTCTTCCTTCCTGGCTGTGTTACTAATGTTCAAACCAGACCTTAAGAACAATCCATCCAAACATTTCAGAGTCCAGGTTTTTTACCCCTAGAATGGGTTTTTATATACTTTTTTGAAACCTTGCAAAATGATACATAAGATGAATAAACTTAAGACCACCAGGAGGAGGAAAAAAATACTGAACCAACAAAGCGAGGAGAGCTACTACTACCACATTCAACAGAAATGTTTTTAACCCTTGACAGCACTGTTTCTAGAATTTATAATCCAATTTTGTCAAATGGAGGCCAACAATGTTTGAAAACTTTTGACGAGACACTGGTTTAGCGTTTGAAACAAATACGAAACGATTCGAAAGGCATCATGGTTCACCTTGTGGGACACGCTCACTCCAAGGAGTGTGTGGGACGCAGTCTTTCCACAGGAGGTGGTGGCTGAGCCTGGCTCGAAGCCGAGTGTCTACAGATACATCCAGTGATGCCCCTTCCTGAAAACCGTGACCGAGGACAGGCTCACCCTCGCGGTGGGAAGTGCCACGGCTGACCCTCCGGCAACACCTGTGGCGGTCCTTGTCTCTCCACTTACAGGGGAGGAGCCCAGCCCCCGCTTCGGGGTCCCTGAGTGCCCTCCGCGAGGAGGTGGCAGAACTAATGCTCCGTTCTGGGTCTCGCTGGATTCCAAGCTCATGCTCTGGGTCAGGGCTGCTGCCCTTGGGTTTGCTGTGAGGTGGCTCCTGTAAGGGACGGTGAGGGGTTTTCTCCCAACAAGACCATGATCGTTGAAAAGAGGTTCCTCCTGGGAACTGAAGCACCACTTTGAGTACTTATACCGCCGGTCTAGAGCAAGCAGGTCACACACTCCAGACTTAGGAGAATGGGTGAAGCCTCATCCTCCAGATAGTCCTGAACGCAAGGGCGGGCCTTTGATCATAAGGTAGAACTTAAGGTCGTGATTCCAGGCCTCAGCCCTACGTTCATAGCTGATGTCTTCCATGGTAGGGACAGCCATGTCTGTTGTATAAAAATACATATATATATATCTCATTTTTCCTGTTTATAACTCTGGTTCACTTTAGCTTAGATGGTTACTTTGTCATGTCAGACTTCACCTACTCGTATTTAGCTTAGGAACTGCTGAAGTATTTATAATTTACATAACATGAAAAGTTGCTCTCAGGGAATCCTCACTCTTTAGATGGCCATTGCTAAGTCTGAAGATGCATCATCGCCAAACCAACGTTTAAATCTCAGCTCTGCCTTGATCAGCCATGCGTTGCAGGGTGACTGTCACGGCCCCTGAGCCCTGCCTCGCTTCCCCCTCGCCCGGCTTTAAAACGTAGGGCGCATAGGCCCCTTGCAGAGCTGTTAGGCATGAACAACTGTGAATGCAAAGAGGCGAGGATGCTGCCTGGACAAGTGGTAGCTATTGTAATAAAAGTAGATGAGCCCTCTGGAGGACCTTGGGGAGCTTGAGAAGTGGAAGTGTGCGTGTTGCTAAGCAACCGGTCTCCATTTTGGAGCTTAGTTGCCAAGAGCTCCCAGAGCTGGACCAATCCGAAGCCTTGCTGGTGCCGGGCCAAAGCCCTGACTGGGGCAGGGGCTGTGCAGAGAGGAAGTGGTGGGGGCGGGAGGCGCGGTGCCTGGCCCCGCAGCTGTGTGCCATTACCCACGGCAGTCCCGGGTAAGAACAGTCCTAATGCTGGCCATTTGTCCATAGTTTTATTGCTTTAATCTCACCATACTGGCTGAGGCCAGGCCATGATAATATATTTAAGTAATGAGGCCTGACAGCCGGGGCCTGCCGTGGTGATTAGAACACACCTAGTAGGGTGTGAGAAGGTCTAAAGGTGAGGGTCCTAATCCCTTAAACGCCTGCACTCATGAGATGGCAAATGTACACAGAATGTGTAGCCCCAGAGCAGAGCGGAGAGCCAGTTGCAAACCCCCGCTGGGCTCAGGTAAACGTGCATCCAAAGGCGTGGGAGTGAAGGGCCCTTTCAGGGTCAGGTGGGCGCTGCTGTGTGAGGCACTCGGCAATCACATGTTAGGAAATGCTTGGACATTCCACGCCGCTAATGCCTCCCAGTATTTAGTAGAAAAGGGTTAAGTGTAATTCTTTAAATTGTTGTAATAAAGTAATACACGTGCATGGAATCATCCAAAAGCATTGTTACATATGAAATCCTCCTCTTAGCCCGGACAGCTGAGACAAACATCCCCAAATCCTCCTTGTACAGAAAGATCCCTTCCTGCCTGTGGCTAGGAGCAAGCCACAAGTACCGTGAACTGCAAGGCGATTTGACTCACTGCTGTGCCAACTTCGATTGTTGTCTTTTGTAATTGTTGTTTTGCTTGTTAATAAAAATTGAAAAGAAGAAAAATTTCCATCGGCCCAGCGCCCCAGGCTTCCACAGCCATGGCCAAGCCCTCAGCTCCGTCCTCACCGCCCACACCGCCCTGCAGCTCTGATTGCGCTTTCGTGGCTGGTAACGAGGACAGTGACGACACCTGTCCTCGAAACCTCGCTCCTGAGCGCCCAACCTACACGCACCTTAACTGCCTTGCTAGGCAGCTGTGCCCTCCACCACCGCTCCCCTCAGGTGTGAGGGAGCCCTGAACGTTGATCTGACCGAATTCCCAGCCAGCCTGTTCCCTGTCCCCGCATCCACTTCCTCTGGCCCCCTGTGCCCCTGTGCCCTCTGCTGGGAAAGCCTACACCACGAACAGCCTACTGTCGCGGAGATCACCGACGTGTGCTCCCCACTGGCCAACCAGATGGCAACGTGTGACCCTCACCACGGTCAATACATGGCTTGCTGCCTCTTGTACGGTGGTGAGGTGGTTCCCAAAGAAGTCGGTGCTGCCTTTGCCACCATCAAGACCAGGCGTACCATCCAGTGTGTGGACTGGTGCCCCACTGGCTTCAAGTTGGCATTCAGTGACCATCCTCTCGCTCTGGTGGCTGGTGGAGACCTGGCCAAAGTGCAGCGAGCTGTGTGCATGCTGAGCAACACCTCAGCGGCTGCTGAGGCCTGGGCCCGCCTGGACCATGGCAATTAGGAAAAAAATAAAAAATAAAAACCTCTTGAACTATTCATTTTATTACTTCTGGCGATTATTCCACATTGGTGCATGTTGATGTACCTTGCCTTCTTTTCATTGCTTTTATTTTCATACAAGGCTGAAAGGAATGGTTATTAGTATTCCTTTTCTTCTTCCTCATCCTCTTCAACAGGATTTTGACCCACATCCTTACAATCTTTCTCAAACAACCATGTGCTCATGGGCCTCGGAAAACCCCCTTCCTCCAAACCCTCACGCACATACCAGTGAACACAGGCTCGCTGGGAAAGCATTAGGTCAAACTTGTTCATCTGAACAAGACTCACAGGGTATAGGGTTTGGACCAGGGGAATGAAGGAAGCATTTGAGAGGAGACCCACACTGTCTGTCTGGGTCCAGTGGAAGTTAACTGGGGCACCTCACTTCAAATTGCTTAAGCTTTGGAAGTGCCATTGGACAGAGGAATGAACTTGGTGGTGAACTAGCCCCTACCCCTTACGGCACTGACCCCCTGCAGGAGTGGATGGAGGACTAAAGGAAACAGAAGCCAACCCGGACAGGGTAGGAAGTCACAGCCAAGAGGTGTGCCATTACTTCAGCTCTCTGCACACCCTCAGGGCAAGGGGATAACCACGAACCAGGTGGTCCTAGCCTCTCTCCCCCAGCACACCTGTCCGGGGTCCCAGCGCTTCCTGCCGCGGCTTATGAGGCAGACGGGCTCAGTAGAGGTCCACCAGACTTCCCCTCTAGTTTCCATCCCCTTGGTTTCCCCTCCCATCGTCATCAGAAACTGGAGACAGGCAGATAGCACACGGCGCCTCGTGCCAGCCCTGACCCTGCCGGAGCCCCACGCAAGAAGGGCGCCTGAGCGAACGTGTGTCCTCCCCAACAGCCATCGCAGGAAATGCTTTCATTTCCAACCTGCTGGCAACGCACTGACAGTGAGAGGAGCCACAGCTGGGGGTGTGGAAAGGCTGCAGGGGAGAAACAATTTCCCAGCCCCAAGCCCCTGCGGAAGGAGAAATTGAACACTTACTTGTAATTTCCCCTCGAGGTCTGCTGGGGACTAATCTAAGTAGGCACTTGGGCTGAAGGGCGAGAACACTGGGGCTGAGAGTTTTCCTTTTGGCCACGTTCGACCCCAGCCCCCACGCCAGGACCACCGTAGCCCTGTTTCTGAAGACCCTAAGGACGTAATGCTTTCTTAGAGTTGATCCTCCTCTTCTGTTAAAAAAATTATACCCCTCAGGCCAAAAATGGCATCACTCATGCTAAGAGCCCATGATATTAAACCTGGATTTATCTGATGTAATTGCAATTTCAGTCTTTCCCAGAAACTAATCTCCCAGGCTGGAATTTTCTCACTGAGCACCAGTAGGGTAGTCTGTCAGAGGGACCCCCTCTCCCCTCCACCTGCCCCCCCCAACAGAAAGAAGAGGCAGTCTACGCGATAAACTCTTCCCCTCCTCGTCCCCAAGGAAATATGTCCAGGCCCCCGAATTACCCTTCTTTCTCTAGTGTTGTTGCCCTAAGTGAAATCCTACAACCAGGAAACCTTCTACAACTCATTTCGACACCCTGTTTCCCAAAACCTTGACTTCTTGGCCAAAGGGTTTCAGAAATGACACAGGCCCCAACTGTGGTCCCCACAGAGAGCTTGGATGTGTAGAGAGAAAAACATACCCACTGGAGACAAGAGGACTTTGTCAGTGACTCGGTGGGTGGGACTGGGGTTGACCTAGGTGCAGACTGTGATGTGGCTGACAGCATGGCTTAGGAGTTCAAGGGGGCTGAGACCCAGCTGTCCTTGAGCGGGGTGGCCTCAGGCAAGGGGACACAATTTCTTGGAGCCTCAGGCTCATCTGGCTGGAACACCTACCTTACAGGGCTTTTGCGAGTCCAAAGAAGATATATGTAAGTATTGACGAAATAGTTATGCATTTTGAGCACTTCCACACTGTCGAGACCCATCCGGCTTCTGAAAGAAGATATAAAACTCAGGAGCTCCTAGTCTGCTCTCGGTCGCTCGCTCTCTCTCTTTTTTTTTTTTTTTTAAACCAGATTGAGATCAACGAGGCCATACCAAAACATGAAAATTTGGTAGCTAAACATATTTCCTTTCAGGTCCTATGTGCCCAGAATGGTTGCTAAGTTCCCGTCTTTAGCCTCCTGTTCAACCCTTCCCCACACAGCGTGGGTGAGGGGCGGTCAGCCAGGGCACAGAGGGGCCTCCCCTGCCCAGGCATTCTGGTGGGTCAGTGCCTTTTTGGGTGAGGAGGCCTGTTACTTTGTATTAGGTCTGCCTGCTAGCAATTGCTAAACCCAATAGAGTAGTGGCTTAACCAAATAGTTTTTCGCCTATTAAAATCTGGAGGCAGTTTATCTAGGGTTGGCATGATGTTCCATGATGCAGGGACTGAGGTTCCTTCAGTCTGTTGTGCAAGACACGCATTCCCAAGGTTGCTTCATGCTTCAAGATGGCTGCTGGAGCTCCAGCCCTTGTCTGGGTTCCAGCCAGGAAGAAGGCAAAAGGGTCTCCTTACTCTAAGAACACTGCCTGGAACCTAAACTCGCCAATCCTACCTACATCCTACCTGCTAGAACTTTATTGATGTAGCCAAACCCAGCTGCAAGAAAAACTGGTCCTATTTTGGGCAATCGTGTCTACTCAACTAAAAATGGGAAGTCTCGTTACTGGGAAAGGGGCAGGAACTGATATTTGGGGCGGCCTAGACGTCTCCCGTTAATGGCTTTGGAGTTCTAAAATCAGTCCTGTTGTTTACTGTGTGTCCTTAGGCAAATTCTTTCTCAGCTACTGTAAAATGGGCATGCTATCAACTTCATAGGCTTGTGGGGATTCACCTCGTGGATGGAAGAACTTCTCCAGTTCTAGCGCCCAGCTGTTGTTTGGATCCTTCCCTTCGGAGCCGCGCATGCGGGCTTCCACATTCTCCCGCATGTACCTTAGTGAAAAGCCCACTTCTCCAGAATGAAGAGTCTTCCCCGGGAAATGCAAGTTAAATGTAGACATCTGGGCCTGATTTAGGAAGCCTTTGAGAGATGGATGCCTTGCAAAGAACAATGCTTTTGTCGGAGGCCTCCAGCATTGCGGGGACACTTAACTGCTAAGTACAAACAGCTGTCCCACATCTGCAGGATCCATTTTCAACAACTGTATACAGTAGACACGGATGACAATGAACTTGGGTCCGGCAAGGCTCCGTTCCCACAGTGTAGACTGAAGGGCGCTGCTGGGGCCGCAAGGTGCACATGTTGATTACCGAGAGCAGGGAAGCTCCAGGAGGCTGTTCGGCCTTCAGACTCGGTTTCTGAGCTGAGTAAAGAGAGACCTGGGCCGTGTGCTCGAGGACTGTCTTGACTGGTTAAAAAAGGATAAAACTGCATTACAGCTGCCTGATGAGCTTGAACACTACCCCTCCCTCACACTAAACAATTTGTATACAACAAAGATCAGTATCATGAAACATTAGAGCAGGGAGAATCTATAAAACCACCTGATCCATTTCCCCTGTCTGGGCAAGAAGACGTACTTTAGAAGTTCAAGAACTCTCCATCCATTTCATGGAAGCAGCTCACATTTTATTTAGGTATCTGCTCTTGTCCTATTTATGACCCCAATAATAGAAAGTGCTTCCTAAGTCTCTTGACTATAAGGTCTCAGGTGATGGGAGAGATACTTGGGTTGCCTCGACATTAAATTTAGGAGGGTTAGTGGGACCTGCTTTTGAAGCACCCCCTCCTGCACGAGCAGCCATCTGTGCATGGGTCATTAGCTCTACTTTCTCTCTAAAAGAAGAGGCATGGGCGCTACCACCTCCACTGCTAAGAAGGCGATGCCCTAGTTAATCAAGAACTTGAGTGGCTGTCTTCAAACAGGTCAATTGGAACCTTACCTTTGTTTTAGGAAACGTTTAAACATGACTTGACATAAAAAGAAAAACCAGATATTGTTCAAACGGTTTTCTAATTGTTCAGCAATAAACACTTCCCCTTTGCCTATGAACGTCTTTGTACTTTACATACCTCACCATTTATAAAGTTGTTTGATTGATGTCGATGATAGAGGCAGGATGAGCTGGTGTTGAGGTTATAACAGGGATAAGACAGAGAGCGAGCATCCTGCCTGACCACTGGTTTTTTGTGACTTTGAGGCATGGATGTGCTAAGCTAGTTTCCTCAGATGTATATGAGGTTAAAAAAAAAAAAAAGCACAATTCACTTAATTCTCAAAACACTTTGAAGTAAAATAAAGTGCTTAGAACTGTGTCCAACATGTAGTAAGCAGAGTATTAAGTTCTTATCTCTAACACGTGGGGGTGCCCTGCCTGGTGCTGTAAGTCATGGCCATGAGGAGCAGTTTAAGACCCACCTGTGCAGGTGATATGAATAGTGAATGCATATGCATTTGGCTTGTGTGTTGTTACTCTTCCCCTTTATCTTGCAAATTAGAGCAGAGTTTGTGATATGACTTTTTCAGGGGTTATTCCTGTACTTTTCACTGCAGAATTTTTTAAAATTTTTATTTATTGATTTTAGAGAGGGGAAGGGAGAGAGGAACATTGATTTGTTGTTTCACTAATTCATGCATTAATTGGTTGTTTCTTGTATGAGGTCTGTCTGGAAAAAGTCCAGCCATTGTTAATATAACAAGATTGGTTTGCGCCACGTCGATGTAACCTGGCAGCCAAGGAGACTGGACTGGAATGTGCATGAGTGAACAATGACGACTTCACTGTACTAGTCACTGGGAGCAGAACATGCTGTAGAATGAACGTGTGTACTGTGTGGCTGGTGCATTAAAAAATGACCGAGCAAGTGGAGAAATGAATCTGCATCAGATTTCGGGTTAAGCTTGAACACCCCTCCATGGAAACTGTTCGGATGATTCAGACAGCCGCAGCTGTGGACATATGGTGATTGGCCCATAACCGTCATGACAACATGCCTGCTCATGCATCATGTCTCATGCTTTGTTG